AAGACCCTGCCCTATCCAAGTGGAGTACAGAAGCCCTCCTAGCTGAGACTCTGCTGATCCTCACAGCCAACTGGCTTGGAGATCAACGCTTCCCAGTGATAAGCTAGGCTTAACAACAAGACTGCACACACAGCCCACAAAGGGCTACACCAAGACTGTCCACCGCAGGTAACTGGGAAGGCTGTGCTACTGGGCTCTACCAGAACACCTAGAACACAAAGCTATTCCATCAAATCAGGGAAACAACTAAAATGCAAACAAGAGGCAGGACACAAAGGAAGGAGATGGAGGAAAAGAAAAGATTGGACATTGAGTTCAAAATTACAGTTATAAGGTTATTCAAGAATATCCTAAAAAAGGCCGATAAAATAAATGAGACCTATGAGGATATGAAAAGGGAGCAACTAGAAATAATAAGGGATCAACTAGAAATGAAGAAAACATTGTCTGAAATAAAAAATATTATACAAAGTTCTAAAAACAGACTGGAAGATCACAAGAATCAAGACAAAAATTTAGAACAGGAAAAGCCAGAGGACACTCCTCTGCAGAAGGGAGAAGATAAGAGAATCCAGAAAGTTGAAGATAGTGCAAGAAACCTCTGGGACAATTTCAAGCGAACCAACATCAGAATTATGGGGGTCCCAGAAGATGAGAGAGAGCAAGATACTGAAAGAATACTGGAAGAAATAGTGACAGAAAACTTCCCCCACCTGGGAAAAGAATTAGACTTACAAGTCCAGGAAACCCGCAGAACCCCAAACAAAAAGAATCCAAGGAGGATCACACCAAGACACATCATAATTAAAATTCCAAAAGCAAAAGACAAAGAGAGAATATTAAAAGCAGCAAGAGAAAAGAAGGTAGTTACCTATAAAGGAACACCCATACGATTGTCAGCTGATTTCTCAACAGAAACCATGCAGGCCAGACGGGAATGGCAAGAAATATTCAAGGTGATGAATAGCAAGAACCTACAGCCAAAAATAATCTACCCAGCAAAGCTATCACTCAGAATCAAAGGACAGTTAAAGAGCTTCACAAATAAAAAAAAGCTAAAGGAGTTCATCACTGCCAAACCAGAATTATATGAATTGCTGAAGGAGGTTATTTAGGAAGAGGAAGAAGATAAAGATAAAAATTATGATAAACAAATAGGTAACTATCAACAAGTGAATCTAAAAACCAAGGGAATTAAAAAATCTGATGAACAATATTAACTGGTGAATATAATAGAATCAGAGGTATGGAAGGGGAGTGAACTGATGATTCTCAGGGAAAAGGGGAGTGGGGGTGCGGGAAGAGACTGAACAAAAACTGTGCACCTATGGATGAGGACAGTGGGGGATGGGGAAAGGACAGAGGGTGGGGTGGGAACCTGGTGGAGAGGAGCAATTGAGGGGGGGAAGAGGATCACATTTGTAATAATCTGAACAAGAAAGATTTTAAAAAAACAAAACAAAACCCACAGCCCTAACCGGTTTGGTCCAGAAGATAGGTCCAGCATCAGCCTGAAGACTGAAGGATCCCAGGTTTGATTTCAGTCAAGGGTACATGCCCGGGTTGTGGGCTCAATCCTCATTAGGGGGTGGGCAGGAGGCAGCCAACGATTCTCTGCCTTTATTGATGTTTTTCTCTCTCTCTCCTTTCCTCTCTGAAATCAGAGAGGGATAGAGTATTAGAAACATTGATCAGTCCTAACTTTTGCTCAGTGGATAGAGCATCAGCCTGAGGACTCAAGGGTTCCAGGTTCGATTCTGGTCAAGGGCATGTACCTTGGTTGTGGGCACAACCCCAGTGGGGGGTGTGCAGGAAGCAGCTGATTAATGTTTCTCTCTCATCGATGTTTCTAACTCTCACTCCCTTTTCCTTCCTCTCTGTAAAAAAAAAAAAAAAAAAAAAAAAAAAAAAATCAATATATTAAAAAGAAACATCTATCAGCTGCCTCCTTCACAACTCTTACTGGGGATGTACCTGCAACCAAGGTACATGCCCTTGAATGAAATCAAACTTGGGACCTATCAGTCCGATGCTCTATCCACTGAGACAAAGCCGTTAGAGCTCAATAAAAAAATATAAAACACCCCAAATCTCTATAAAAGGCTGTGACCAACCGGCTGGTACATGACGTGTACAGGCAATTTAAAAAGACGAGGATATGCGATACATATAAACCTCTTGCTGGCGCCAATTGCACGCGTTTTGACCTCATTGTTGATTATGAATTTGGTTGACACTTCTATTATAAAGGGCAAATAGCGATATCAAAATATTTCTTCTAATTAATTTCCTTTCAATGTCCATGAATCCGTTGGGCCACTAGTTACATATGAAAATAAATTTTAGTTAATTTTAACACTGCATGAGAAATTCATAAAGATCACCATTCTTGTAGTATCTTTTTCGTCTTCTGCTACCGTTTCCCAGAAAATAAGACAGTGTCTTAATTTTTTCTCCCAAAGGTGCGCTAAGTCTTATTTTCAGGGGATGTCTTATTTTTCCATGAAGAAGAATATGGTACACGTTTATTGTTAAATGAAAATAAAGGAAATTTATTATCTGTATACACGGTATGGTATTACGGTAGTTGTCAACACAAACCAGACAAACTGTGAATCCTACAGTATTAAGAATTTACTCATTTATTCAATGACAATCATGTCATCATCTTCTGGAACATCGTAACAATCCAATTCCTGAATTTCCTGGTGAATTTCCTGTGATTCTTTCAGAATCAGTGGACCAAATCTCATGTTTAGCGATAGCATTCTGAGACAGAGCCTAGGGGGGGCTTATTTTCGGGGGATGCCTTATATTTCACGCAGAAGGAAACCTGTAAGTAGGTTTTATTTTCGGGGAAACACGGTATGCATGTTTAGTTATTGAATGTGCTCTGGTCAGTGTGGCTCAGGTGGTTGGAGCATCATCCCACACCAAAAGGTCACAGGTTTGATTCTCGGTCAGGGCACATACCTAGGTTGCAGGTTTGATCCCTGGTCGAAGATCTCCAACTGACATGTCTCTCTTACATCAATGTGACTCTCTTCCACTCAAAATCAATGGAGGCTGGCCAGTGTGGCTCAGTGGTTGAGTATAGACCCAGAAATGAACCAAGAGGTCATGGGCTTGATTCCAGTAAGGACACATGCCCGGATTTGGGCTTGCTTGATCCCCAGTAGAGGTGTGCAGGAGGCAGTGGACAGTGTTCCCTCCTCATTGATGTTTCTATCTCTCTATCCCTCTCTCTTCCTCTCCCTCTAAAATCAAATTAAAAAAAAAAAGTCAATGGAAAAAATCTCAGGTGAGGTTAAAAAAAAAAAGTTACGGAATGCTTTTTAAGAGTTTCAATTTTGAGCATCTGTGTCTATTGCAGAAGCAGCGTTAGACATAGCTTCACATCCCAGCAGAGCGGGGATCTCTATGACAGCTTATCTACATAAAGCCTAAGTGACTGTTACGACTGGCCAACCAGCTGACACACACTGACCACCTGGGGATTCAGAAGCTCAATGCAGGAGCTGCCCCCTGGTGGACAGTGTGCTCCCACAGCCAGCCTCCCGAGGCCCCTCCCTTGGCTGGTCAACCTCCTGCAGCTCCTCCCTCAGTTCCCGGTACCCCATCCCAGCCTGGCCAGCCCACCTCCTGTAGTTCCTTCTGGCAGCTGGCTGGCCCCCAATAGACCTAGATTGCCAGCCAGGCCTGAGGACCCCACCCATGCATCAATCCGTGCACCGGGCCTCTCACTTACGAAGCTAAAGCAGCAGCATTCCAATTGTAGTGGGTAAATCTGGGATTGACAAGACAGACATTAACACTAGTAAAGGATGAATACTACATTGTGAGCAAGATGCTTTCCAATGCACAGTCATCTTTGGTTACCAGCAGCTAGTACTGCGTGTTTTGCAGGGGCTGCAGGAGTTACAATGGATTGAGAAAGTACCAGCGAGCCTTTCAAAGACTCCCCAAAGAGCCGAAGAATGATTAAGTCTATCCTATAGCCTCAGTACTATGGCTTAAGATGATAGACTGATAACTAAACTTGGTGTTAAAGATGTTATAAAAAACAAACAGCCGAAACCGGTTTGGCTCGGCGGTAGAGCGTCGGTCTGCGGACTGAAAGGTCCCAGGTTCGATTCCAGTCAAGGGCATGTACCTTGGTTGCGGGCACATCCCCGGTGGGGGGTGTGCAAGAGGGAGCTGGTCGATGTTTCTCTCTCATCGACATTTCTAGCTCTCTATCTCTCTCCCTTCCTCTCTGTGAAAAATCAATAAAATATATTTTTAAAAAAATTAACCCCCCCCCCACAAAACAAACAAACAAAAACAACAACAACAAAAAAAACCCAAACAGCCGAAACCGGTGTGGCTCAATGGATAGAGTGTGGGCTTGGGGACTGAAGGGTCCCGGGTTCGATTCGGTCAAGGGCATGTAACTTGGTTGTGGACACATCCCCAATAGGGGGTGTGCAAGAGGCAGCTGATCAATGACTCTCTCTCATTGATGTTTCTAATTCTCTATCTCTCTCCCTTCCTCTCTGTACAAAATCAATAAAATATATTAAAAACACAAAATCAAAGAACCACAAAAAAAAACCACACCAAAAAACACACCCAAACCCATCCCACCAAATACCCCAATATTACACAGAGGCTGTCAAAGGTCTTTCTCTGACTTCAGCAAAGAGAAACCATCCAAATTTTATTCTTTAACTACTGATTTAACTCTAATATAAGTTAGTACAATTTTTCCTACTGCAGCAAGTTCTCATTTTCTTAAGGCCTTTTCTGGAAATAAAATGTCTTATTTCCCACCTTCAAATTAAAATGTTATCCTCATAAATATTATGTATCAGGTTGGTATATTCACTTAGATGCTTTCCATATTTCAGTGTAAGCAAAAACATGTATTTAGAGCTATATTAATTATTAAAGCAAAAGACAATCCAACCAAATATCAAGAGAAATTAGGACCTCTCCATGCATGTTTGATACAGAAAACATTGATTTTGACATATCTCTTTTTTATTCAAATACCATTCTGATCGCTCACGGTACAAGAATATTCAAATAATAAACAAAAAAACCAACACTGCAGGTGTTCAAGATTGGTTTTTAAACATCATAGCCAATGATGTTGCGCTTGCCGATGATCTCGCCGACATAAAACCACATCCACACCTCAGTGGCCACCAACCCATTCAGCAGAGCTTCCTGGGGGAGGGAGGGGGGCAAAAAAGGGAAGCATAAACTTTACTGTACATCTTTTTGTTACATATTTAAAACTATTATTTTATAGGATTAAATGACAGAATATAAGGATGCCATAAAATTAGAGAGAAGTTTTAGTCCAAGTCAAGAATTACTGATGTTAACTCTGTTCAACTGCTGAGAACCCCTAAACGCAGTCATGTAAGGTAAGTAGTTCAGACTTATACATTCTTTCAGACCAGCCTTTAAAGATCCAAACTGACATAACACTTTCGTTATTAGTTCATGAGACACTTTATAAGCTCTAAAACAACCCACATCCTGGAAATAGCTGACACGTTAAGACAGGGCATTCATAGGAAAGGATCGCTATGGGAAGAAGGCAAGTCCCTGAATAGATATTTCTGATAGAGAAAAGTCTGTTGAATGATAAAAGGCTCTGTTCTTTAGACATTTTTATTTACTTATTATTTGCCTTAATTCTTGTAATTATTCAGTTTCACAAATCAATGTTTTACTGCCTTGAAGAGAAAAAGTAAATAGATAGTTCCAGAAAGCACTATGTAAGTGCAAATATGGATCTTGAAATTCTAATTGAAAAAAATACCCTTCCCCTTTAAATTAGACCAGAAATACTGGAAATTTCCTGAAAATATCCACATTTTTCAGGATGTAGTTTCTTAAGTCAGCAATAATTTAGTTATTTAGGTTTTTTATCCTACGCTTCAATCATGCAAGCAACATAAAATATGTTCCAGCTGGTTGGCCTGGCACAGTGGTTGAGCATCAGTCTATGAACTGGGAGGTCACGGTTCAATTCCCCAACCTGGATTGTGGGCTGATCCCCAGTGTGGGGCATGCAGGAGGCGGCCAATCAATTATTCTTTGTCATCATTGATGTTTCTGTCTGTCTCTCCCTGTTCCCTTCCTCTCTGAAATACAAATATACTAAAAAAATAAAAAGCAGGTTCCAAAATCTTATAATGTTTAGATTTTATCTTCACACAATTCAATAATCCTTTATAACATATTATATGCTTGTTAGGTTTTGATATTTTTATCCTTCATATGAATGTTAGCTACCTGATTGTTATATTCTAAGAGATCTTTTGACCACATTGCAGATGAAAAAAAGTACAGAATGAGCAAAGTAAGCCATTCTATTTTAGTATACTAACCAAAATTGGAAGAGAAAAATGTTGCCCAGTAAAAAGTCACTTTTTTGTTAGCAATAGAAAAGTAAGATATGAAACAGCCCAATCAGTCAGCAGTCAAGAGATCATCTCTCATTATGTTAGTTTCAGCTTTCCTGGGAAATACATATATTAATCAAAACAATCAGAAAAATCCCAAGGAAAGACTTTTTCTTAATGCATATGCTATTAGTTAATTAATTAACCCTCATCTGAGGATATTAAAAAAAAAATTGGTTGTGGAGAGAGAAAAAGCAATTGGCTGCCCCTGTTGGCACCTCTTTGGTGTGCTGGATGACAGGCCAACCAACGGAGCCCCCCAGCCAGGGCCAGACGGTTTCGTTTAGCACGTGGTTACCTTAACGGTGAGCTGTTTGAAGCTTCCAGTCTGAGCACTCCGGACTATTTTTTTGATGCCCTGAATAGCTGTAGGGATCTCAGCAGGGGTTGGAGGAATCAGCTCAACCTTGGCATAGTGCCAAAACGTGGCCAGTCGAGGCTTCGAGTAAGTCACAGCAGCTGGAAAACAAAACAAAACAGGATGAACTCACCAGAGACCGAGAGGCAGATGCGTGGGCTGGACACACATTTATTCATTCACTGCTGGCATCAAACGTGCACCTGGAGTGAAGGTCAAAGTGGCTCCCCGGCAATAAGGGCCTTTTAAAGATGCACAACACCTGTGTCACAGGACGTTCAATCAGGCAGGAAGTATGCACACCTTCAATTATGCCAGACTTCACCAGTGGGCAGCAAGTACTGCTTATTGATGTAAATATATTTTATTGATTTTTTACAGAGGAAGGGAGAGGGATAGAGCTAGAAACATTGATGAGAGAGAAACATCAATCAGCTGCCTCCTGCACCCCCCCCCCCCCGCCCCGGGGGATGTGCCCACAGCCAAGGTACATACCTTTGACCAGAATCAAACCTGGGACCCTTCAGTCCACAGATCGACATTCTATCCACCGAACCAAACGGGTCAGGGCACTGTCACTTTATTTATTTGTGAACCAGAGGCCTGGTGCACGAATTCATGCACGGGTGGGGAAGGACATGGGAGGTTGGCCAGCCAATCCCGCCTCTGATGGCCATGGGCAGTTGGCTGACTAGCCCCACCCCCCGGTCGAACTTCCAGTGGAAGGAACAATTCACACATTTGCCTTTTATTATATATGTAAAGTTATTAGAAGCTGCACTAAAAAACAAGGAAACAGCAGCGAGGTAACACTTCCTTGGTAGAGGCATCAGAAGATTTGAAGGCAGGAGGTACAGGTGAGGAGGAAAGGAGCTATGCAGATGGCACCCTTCAGAATGAGATTAAAACTTGTCACACACAATACTGGCCACAAATCCAGATGGAACTGTCCATTAGCATCCATTTTTGGTATCCTTATCAATACTTGCTGGATTAAATCTTTCTTTAAAAAAAATCACTGTAGATCCTCCTTCAATATATCACAAATAATAGAAAACCTACTTGTATTGTTAAGAGCAGCCAAAAGTATTACCAATTCCTCAATGTATTTACTATTTCAGGAAAATATTTTTTAAAAAAATATATATTTTATTGATTTTGTACAGAGAGGAAGGGAGAGAGAGAGAGAGAGTTAGAAACATTGATGAGAGTCATCAATCAGCTGCCTCTTGCACACCCCCTACTGGGGATATGCCCGCAACCAAGGTACATGCCCTTGACCGGAATCGAACCCGGGACCTTTCAGTCCCCAAGCCGACGCTCTATCCATTGAGCCAAACCGGTCCCGGCTTCAGGAAAATATTTTTAACAACCAGTGTGTAGATGTAAGACTATGGTAATGATTTCATCAGGAGGAAGACATTTTATTTAAAAAAAATTACAAGACAAATGTAATAAAAGCATAAATGCATGAGCATCCACAAAGTGTCTATTGTTCAAAGACAGAGTCAAAGCTTCGAGTACTTTTTCTATTATTAATTGCCTGTATTTAATATTTCACTACTCTTTTTCTTTTTTTAATATATTTTATTGATTTTTCACAGAGAGGAAGAGAGAGGGATAGAGAGTTAGAAACATCGATGAGAGAGAATCATCGATCAGCTGCCTCTTGCACACCCCCCACTGGGGATGTGCCCACAACCAAGGTACATGCCCCTGCTCGGAATCAAACCCAGGACCTTTCAGTCCGCAGGCCAATGCTCTATCCACTGAGCAAAACCGGTCCCGGCTATTTCACTCCTCTTTAGAATTACTATTTCCTTCATCCTCTGTGCTTAAGGCTATGGGAAAATACATTTTAAAACTGATTTTATGGAGAGGGAGAGAAGGAGCCAGGGAAAAGGGAGGGAGAGGAAGGAAGAGAGTAAACACTGATTTGTTGTTCCACTTGTGCATTTGTTGGCTGGTCCCTGCATGTGTCCTGACCGTGATGAAACCTGCACGTTGGTGCGTGGGGACGATGCTCCGAACGGGGCGACCAGCAGGACGAGGGGAATTTTAAGCAGACACAAAGTTCTAAGAGAGAGTTCTAAATAGGCGACAAGGGGCCGAAGACGGGGCCATCAGAAAGTACAGTCTGCCTGACCAGTGTGGCTCAGTTGGTTGGGCATCACCCTGTGCACGCCAGGTGGCTGTTTGATTCCCGTCAGCGCACATCCCCAGTAGGGGGTGTGAGGGAAACAGCTTATTATGTTTCTTTCTCTTCCTTCCTCTCTTTAAAAATCAATACAAATATATTTTTAAAAAGTACAAAGTCTGTGTAACTCTTTAAAATTTAATCTTAAATTTCACCCTTAAACAGAGAGGCAGGGAGAGGGATAGACAGCCAGAAACATCCGATGAGAAACATCAATCAGCTGCCTCCCGCACACTCACCACTGGGTATGTGCCTACAACCACAGGCCAATGCTCCATCCACTGAGCCAAACTGGCCATTCCTATGAATTTATGTTTAATATATAAACAATCCTATATAATAAAACCCTCATGTGCAAATCAACCGAATGGTGGAACGAAGAGTCGCTATGATGCGCACTGATCACCAGAGGGCAGATGCTCAGCACAAAAGCTGCACCCACCCCCTCCTCGGGGCCTGCAAGCTGGTGGTGCCAGGCTGCCAGCCAAGGCAGCAAGGCAGGTGCCAGAGGGAGTCCCCCTGCCTGTTGGCCCACAGATCAGTGCTGATCGCTGGCCAGGCCTAGGGACCCTACTTGTGCGTGAATTTCTGCACCGGGCCTCTAGTTATATATATATATATATATATATATATATATATATATATATATATATATATATATGTGTGTGTGTGTGTGTGTGTGTGTGTGTGTGTGTGTATGCATATATATATATATATATATATATATATATATACACACACACACACACACACACACACACACACACGTATATACAAGGTTTAGTGTCCACACACATACCCTTGTTCACTAAGAGGGCCTAGAACAATGATATAACTTAATAGCAAGGAATATATCCAGTGTCTAGCTTTTAGTTTAAAAAAACCATAGTCCAATAAAAAGGAACTAGCGGCTCCTTGGGAGCAATGGCTGATTCTAAGGCGGGGCAGGGAAAATAAAAGATGAGCCTGAGGCATCCTGTAGTACCAGGAAGTAAAGGGGGCAGTCAGAAGGACAGAGGTGCCAGACTGAAGAGTTCTCAGTGGTCAAAGCTGCAACAATCTGAGCACAACAGAAAGAACATACTTCTGGCCCTCGCTGGTTTGGCTCAGTGGATAGAGCATTGGCCTGTGGAATGGAGGGTCCTGGCTTTGATTCCTGCCAAGGGCACATGCTTGGGTCGCCTTAACCAAGTGATGAAAGCTAAGTTCACCTCTGACATTACATGGACATCACACACATCCTGGTATGTGATTAGAGCTCTTCCCTTTTGTGGCATTCTTTCTCAAACCCGTAGCTCCAGACTAACATTAGACAAAACTAAACAGGAGACCAAGCGTACAGGATACCTACACATACTTACAGATACCTTCAAACTGTCAAAGTCATGAAATATTGGAAAACTGTCACACCACAGGAGGTAGGGAGATTGACAAAATGCAAGGTGGCACCCTGGAATGGCTCTTGTAACAAAAAGATTAATAAAAAAATGAGTGAGCCCTAGCCAGTGTGGCTCAGTGGATAGAGTGTCAGCCTGCAGACTGAAGGGTCCAGGGTTTGATTCCTGGTCAGGGCACATGCCTGGATTGTGGGCTCAATCCCAATGTGTGGTGTGCAGGAGGCAGCTGATCAGTGATTTTCTCTCAAAGATGTTGCTATCTCTTCTCTCACTTCCTCTCTGAAATCAATAAAAATATATTTTAAAAAGAAAAGGGTGAAATCCAAATAAAGTATCAAGTTTAGTAAAAAGGAAAAAAAAAAGATACTCTGAACTTTGTGGGGAAATTTAATGCTAACATTACTTATTTGTAAGATTCTTTGTCCTTCAAGGGAATTAACAGATACAGTAATTTTAATTAGTCATTTATTATTCACATTTCATAAGCTGAGTTATATTATAAAGCAAAATATATTTCCACTTTCACATCCTGACCCCAGTTGACTTCTTTCTTAGTACTTTTGTAAGAATAACCATCATTATCTTCCAATTATTCACAATTGAGGAAAGAATTTACCTATTTCATGATAAAGTTATTTTTGTATTACCTTTAATTTTTGGATTTTATTATTAAAATTCACCCCCACACACAATCTAAATGATGTGAAAGCCACTTGAAACTTAAAAATCTTGCCTCATATTATTCGAAGTCCAAAGAATGAAGCCCTTATTCCTTCTATCTTTATTTATGTAAAATTGTAGAGCTTTGTCATACAGGTGCCTCGATGATCTCAGTAAAGTTGCAATCGTAAGTTCTTTGGGAAAATGTGTAAACTAGTAGACTGCAGGAGAGAATAGTTATTTATAGCATCTGCCACCGTAAGGCCTTCACTCACTCACTGTCTGGCGAGGGAGGAATGCAAGAGAGAATAAGTAGAAAATACCAATAACCGTGTATTTTAAAAAGTCTATTCACATGTCATAATCAAACGTGAGCGAACGCTACCGAGAGGACCCCGCTCGGCCCAGACTGGACGCCTCCACCTCGTGAGAGCGCTCCTCGCTCCGCGCGTTCCCTCCGGGAAAAGCGAGCCGCCTGGGCCCGCACTCCGCACCGCCGAAGGGCAGGGACCGCCGCCGGCGGGCCGCGCGGGGGGCTGACACACTGACCTCCCGGCAACGCCGCGCCTTTTCAAACGGAAACACCCACGGGTGCTCAACTATAGGAATCAGACTAGTTCACAACCCATTTTTATGCTTATTGGGCCAGGGACATTCGTCCCTGAAATCCAATTCCACCTAAAAACCCTCCCAGGACCGGGCGTGCTCAGTGGCTGAGCACTGACCTATGAGCCAGGAGGTCAGTCCGGGTCGGGCACAGGCCCGGGTTGCAGGTTCGACCCCCAGCGGGGGCGTGCAGGAAGCAGCCAGTCAATGAGCCTCTCATCACTCATGAAATCATTAAAAACATATATTTAAGAAACTCTCCCAGGATCTGGCCAGTACAGAAAGCAAAGTCAATGTTCACAAAGTCACGCAGCCTGAAGAGCTTCTGCACGGTGAAGCGGACGAGCTGGCGAGGCCCTTTCTGTCCCGCACACACCGGGCCCCCTTTCCCAGAGGTCCCCGCAGAGCCGCGCCCCCACATCCCCACCCCAGGGCAGGCTCCGCCGCGCTCACCGTTCACCAGCGCGGGGCCCTTCTCCGCGAGGTTCCGGACAAACTGGGCCATGGCGCCGGGAGGGACACTGTGGCCAGAACCGCCGGCTGAAAGTCACCCTCGCAAGGACCCGCCGAAGGACCCCGCTCCGTGTCCAAGGTCAGGCCGTCCTCCTCGCGCCGGCCCACGATACTTAGGTGTCCCACGGCTCTTCCGGAATCCAGCTGGTAAATATATCTTCTTCAGCCACAGAGGAACGAGGGCACGAAAGGGCGAGAGTCTTCGAGGAGAACGCAGAATTCCCGGACAAGCAGGCACTTCTTGGGGCAGCCGCCCGAAGCCGGAAGGCAGTGCGTGCGCCCGGAGGCTCTCTGTACCCGCCCCCACTCTTCCGCCCCGCCGCCGGGAGCCGGAAGACCGCGAAGGGAGGAGAGGCGCATGCGCCCTGCGGTTCTCGGGACTCGTTCCTCACTTTTCCGCCCCGCCACCCGGAGCCGGAAGACGGCGAAGAGGCGCATGCGCCCTGCGGCTCTCTGGACCCGTTTCCCCCCCCCCCCCCCCCCGCTTCCGCCCCTCCGCCCGGAGCCGGAAGACGGCGAGGGGAAGAGGTGCGTGCGCCGAAAGGTTCCTAGTACCCGCTGCTCGGAGCCGGAAGGCGGGAGGCGGGAGGGGAGGAGACGCGCATGCGTCCTGCGCCTCCCTGGACCCGCCTCCATTCTCCTGCCGGTGGTGCTGCGCTTTGGAGAATGGAGGGAATGAGGGCTTGCGCTGACCCTTGTACGCCAACGCGAGCGCTTTACAAAGCCAGAGAGGCTCCGGCCAAACATGTCACGTCCGGGGCAGAGCAGGCGCCCCACAGCCTTTCTTTAGCTGATGTTCTCTTACCAGGATTGGAATCCAATTTCACCAAGTCCCTAACCAGCCCCGGGAAAATATGCAGATATGAGGTACAAAATCACGTTTACTGAGGACTCCCAGTATGCCAGGCACTTTGGAATATAAAGAAAGTCTGTAAGTTAATAAACGGCCACGTAGCTAGTGAATGGCAGAGACGGGATCAGAAGAGGTTGCAATGTAAACAGACAACAAACATATCGGTTAGGCGGTTTGCTGACCTGCAGAACGTTGAATTGATGTATAACTGGACGACTACCACAAAGAGTTGAAACTTTATAGTTGAACACGACTGGAAGAAAACATGAAGCAGGGAAGTGGCACTTGAAAAACAAAATTATAACTACCCTGGGGAAAAGTCAGAAGTAAAACTTTTGGGTTGATGGAATATAGGTGGGAAGAAAAATTAGGAGTCAAGAGCAGGATTTCAGTGGAATAATTCAGCTGTCTTAAACAAAAGAGAGGTCAATTAAGGATGGGGAAGTTAATATGGCAATATGGAAACATTAGCTGGAGCAGTTTCAAAAAATTAGAAGTCAGAGTGAATGAAGAAACATGGCTATAAAGGAAAACAAGTCAGAAAACCAAACGGATGTGGAGGTCAAAGGAGAGACTGAAGATAGAGAAGGGGGTTGATATCCTGAGGAGGCAAGAAAGGAGGCTGGAGGGATTAGCCCTGGAAAGGGGCCTTTTCCACAGGTGGGGTGATGGGAGAGGATTTTTGACAGTGAAAATTCTGGGTCTACATCTTTTTTAAAAATATATCTTATTGACTTTTTACAGAGAGGAAGGGAGAGGGATCGAGTGAGAAACATTGATCAGCCGCCTCCGGCCCCCCCCCCCCCCCCCCCCCCCCGCCACGTGCCCGCAACCAAGGTACATGCCCTTGACCAGAAACGAACCCGGGAACCTTCAGTCCGCAGGCCTACACTCTATCCTCTGAGCCAAACCGGTTTCAGCTGGGTCTATATCTTTCTAGTGAATTAGAAGGCAAGGTCATCTGAGCGTGATGGAGTTTGGAATAGCTATTGAAGTTAGGGACACACAAAATTTTGGGCAATGTTAGAAACCACAGTTTATGGTTGCATAGTTCTAAAGATGGCCATCTTTTTCCAACAATGGTCTGTAGTTTGGATATTGGGGCGGGAATGGTTGGTTTAACCGAGGCTGAGGTCTTAAGGCAGAGAGTACAGAAACACCGGCAAGGGGGGCGTGAGGTCAGTGACTGGAATGAAAGACAGTTTAGGCCAGATAAAGGAGGAGGAAGCCCAAAGGGAACTGACTAGGAGGCTCACCTTCAGAGAGAACTACAGGTTACCTGCTAAGGCAGAGGAGGTCAGCCCGTCACAATCTGAAACTACCTGGAACAAAAGGGAAGGTCAGAGTCCTTTAAACTGCCACGAGCTTTTAATACTGTAATAAAGGAAGTGATGACAAAGGTTATAAGTTAGGTATTCATTTATTAAATACAAGCTTTGAACAAATACCCCCAGGTGAGAGTGACAAGAAATAACCTTCCTGGAATGTTTCAGAGCAGTTATGTCCATCAAGTTTTATTTCAGTCAACCTTTTTGTTCTTCATATTGTTTAGTTTTGTCTTTAAGTTTGTCTCCTGTTTGGCTGGTAGAGCGTGTGCATTATGTATCTATGTCATCAACAGTGCCGCCTGGGCGCCTGGCTGACAAAGGCACCCAGGCCACTTACCAGCGTCAAATAAAGTAAAGCTTCTGTAGAGTGTGAAACCTTTAATAACATTTCTTTCAGGTTTTACATATCCATCTTAAAAACCCAGATTACGTGATGAAACCTAGTACATTTCCCAAGTTTAGTATTACCCTCTTAGTAAGACTATTAGAGCTGATTAAAGAGTCTCCATTTTCCTATCATACTCCAGCAAAGCCAACACAGCAAACTAGGTATGTCAGAGAGTCTGCTTTCGTAGATTTTGAGCTGGTTTTTAGTTCCAGATAACAAAACACCTCGTTAAGCTTCCAAGTGCACATACGCACTGCGTTGTACCAAAATAATAATTTTTAGTCTCATTTTTGGATGTTCTTAATTATATGGCTTCCTTACCAGTAGTGGCCTTACGCTATACACTTGCTATGTAATGAGTTTAAGACATTCAGCAGCATTAATGGTGCCACAGCCATTCATAAATTTCAGGAAAAGGGCTTTAATAATAATAATAAAAAAGCTTGCCAAAAAAGGCTTACAATCTGAAGACAGAAGAGGAATACAGATACAGATACAAACACAGGTTGTTGACTAGAAAGCCGCTGGGAATGCTGCTGTATGAGGTTTTGTGCCCTTTTTTTCTCCAAATTTCTCCTATAAAAACCTGGTCTTTAAAAAAAGAAAACATCCTATGTGGTTGGGCTTGGAAGATAAATGCAAGGTGGTGGAAGCTTATTTTATACACGGTTCATTCCCAGTAAAGGAGGCTAATAAATATGAAGCTAATTTTAAGAAAATAAACAAATTCTGTCAACCCATGCCTTCAAGGCCTAGGAGGCAACACTGAATTCCTCTCTCATGTTCTGGCATTTGCACATCTTATAAGCACAGCAGTAGGCAACATCTTTCTACGGTGCGAGATGCCCTCTATTATTTGTGTTTTTCCAGTTGATACCACCAAAAACATACCAAAGGCTGTTGATAGGAACTTGACATATTATGAGACTGACATCTTATTTGAAAGACACCGTGGTTAACATTAATGTCCTTTAAATGAAGCAATGATCCCTGTTTCCAGATCATACCCTTTTTCTTGTCACTTAGGGTATCTGTGGGCTTAGAGGGACAGTGATATAGACGTCCATAGGGGACTGTGCCTCACTTAGCATGTTAGCTGCATAGCTGAGTAGGGAACTCAAGCTCAACTTGTAGAAGGGGTCCCTCCCACCTACTAACTATGCGGGGCTAAGGTGATATTTAAATGGTTTGTTAACTGCTCACCTAGGCTGAGTTAGAAGCAGTTCTTGGGATTGAGGTCATAAGCTTAAACAGTAACTATATACATTTCACAGTCTCAGGATTTTACCTAGAAAAATGTGTTAGTGGCCACACACTGTATATATCTTACCATGGAAGGACGATTTAAAGTGGGACTGCTTATACTAGGCCAATATAAAAAACACATGGTATGTATACTGAGATACACTGTTGATATTAGTGTCTTCAAATGGCATTTTTCCTGCTTACCGTATTCGTTATCTAACTTCTCTACTCAGCAACAGATTTCCATAAGCTAAATTGGGCTCAACATAGCTAAGGCTCCGTAGCTCAGGGGTTAGAGCACTGGTCTCGTAAATTGGGCTCAACAGCCTCTTTTATTCTTTCCCCTCAGAATTTTCTGGATAGTGTCAAAACTGCAAGTTTATCCTGTCAATCTTCCCAAAAATATGGTAGGGCTGTTTTCTGTGGTAAAGACAATCCCACGGGACAGTGTTTGTATCTCTGAGTTATGGAGATGATACAAAATTAAGAGCTATCAACAGAACTGCATACCATTCCTTTCTTTTTCCATCTCACCTATCACCTTACCGTGCCCGCAGGCACCCAGCTCCCGCCTCGATGTGGAAGGTTGCCCTGTAACTGCGGAGCAGCACAGAAAGGAGCCGTGGTCCGGGCCACGAAGGCTAGGGCTTTCTGACTGTCAGCTGTCACCGACATATGTGACAGCCTGTACTTGAAAGCAGTGCTCACCAAAGATGAGCAGTTCTTGGAAGAAAAATAGTGAGGTGGCAGAAGTGTTAGCAGTGGAAGTTAATATAATTTAAGGTAGGAAAGGGGAGAAAAAGGAATAGGGAGAGAGAACACAGGATAAAAATTAGTGATGATACTCAGACATGGTGGTGATATAACTAAAATTTCCTGTAAGCTAGGAGAGCCTTGTCAAGTTCTTAGGAATCTTAATTATCATAATTTGAGCAATAATTTAGTAAAAAAGAAAGAAAGAAAGAAAGGGACAGAACCAAAGAGAAATCACAAACAACTGTTTATCTTCACTCGGGGGCTGGTTTGGTTGCTTTAGTCACAGTATTTATTCAAGTTGCTCCTTTTGTTGTTTCCTCTCTGCCAGCCACCGTTGGATTTTTTCCTTTAGTTCTGTGTTTGGCCGGATCTGGTCCATGGTGAGGGGGCTACGGTTAAAGGGATCTGTTTGGTCACTGGGACAGAGAGAAAGGAAAATGGGGTTATTGAATCAGTTCTAACACCCTAAGCCAAGACTAGAATACCTGGGATCTTACTTGGAGACTGAAGCTAGAGTGCATTTGAACTAAGTGCTGACTTGAGGTTAGAAAGAATGATTCAGGAGGTTTTTCTTTTTTCCCTTTTCAGATTATTTAGCTACCTTGTCTTTCTGCTTCTAAACAAAATTTATTTAAACATTGTTCAGTTTCCCTCGACGGGCCCCTGCGCACGCACGCCAGCGGGAGGAGCTGTTTTAGTGATGGCGTCAGGGATGGGGTTGGGCCCTGGCCCAGCCAGCTGACTGCTGTCCTAGCAGCTGCAGGCGGTGGCTTCCTGACGGAGGGAGGTTTCTAACATACTTTAAGGGCTGGCTTATCTTCTTTTTATTCTGAGGCCCCAACAAAGTATAAATTTTCACTCACACTTTGAAAAGATGTACCACCCAGCACAGCATCATGCATATAGTGAATACTTAATACTAAATACCACGAAATGGAAAATCCTTTCCCTCCAATATTTACAAAATTGTATTTCCTTAAATTTGGGTCAACTTTCATAACTGGATTTTAAACAGGCCGAGTCTCTCAGACCCTTTCTGGGCAATGCTGCCCGGAGAGCGGCAGCTGGGCCCCCGGACACCAGGCTGACAGCACACAGCAGGCAATGTGAGTCACCGTGAGCTGAATAAAAAGGCACCCTACCTTTTACATTTTTATAAAATTAAAGCAATTTAAATCCACTTTAACATCTATTATAATATTTACGTCAGATGACCATACAGGGACAGATCCCCCCAAAATGGGGCCTGACACTTTCATAATTTGGGTCTCTTTAAGAAAAAAAGAATGCTGCCCTAGCCGGTTTGGTTCAGTGGATAGAGCATCAGCCTGCAGACTGAAGGGTCCCGGGTTTGATTCTGGCCAAGGGCACCTGCTGGGTTCCAGGCTCGGTCCCCCTCTCCCCGATATGGGGCCACACAGGAGGCAGCCAATCAATGATTCACTCTCATCGTGGATGTTTCTATCTCTCTCTCTCTCTTTCCTCTCTGAAATAAAATATTCTACATAATAAAGAGGTAATATGCAAATTAACTCTCACACTCTCACAAGATGGCTGCCTACAGTCAGTCTGGCAGGGTTAGACCAAAAGACTGAATAAGCAGGCTTCATGGGGCGACCAGATAGGCAGGGGGCTTAGTGAGGGATGACCAAACAACTAAACAAGCAGACTGCACGGAGTGACCAGACCAGTGAGGGGGCCATGACAGGCGACCAGGCCAGCAGGGGGGAGGGGCAGTAAGAGGTGACCATGCCGGAGGGGTGTGAGTTGGGGGCAATAAGGCTGGCAGGGGGTCCGTGAGGAGCGACTAGGCTGGTGGGGGAGAGGGAGGGGAGAGCAGTTGGGGGTGACCAGATTGGCAGGGGGATGGAGTTAGGGGTGACCAGGCTGGTGGTGGGGGGGCAGTTTGGGGGAGCCTGTCCAGTAGGGGGGGTCAATAAGGAATGACCAGGCCGGCAGGGGGGGCAGTTGGTGGTGGCCTGGCTGGCAGCGGGGGGCAATTAGGGGCAACCAGGCCTGCAAGGGGGGCAGTTAGGGGTGACCAGGCAGTTAGGCAGCTGAGGGGACACCTTCCCCCCACTACCCCCCCCCCGCACGAATTTTGTACACTGGGCCTCTAGTTTTTTATAACATATGTTAACAGAAATTATTTCCTTAAGGAAGGAATAGATAAGGTTAGATCAGTATTTTACAACAAGGTGTCTTGCTTTGGATGTTTAAGTGATACACTCTACCAATGCCTTCCCATCACATACAGAGTCATCTCTGGGGCACCTCCTGGCTGCTCCACCAAAACCAGAAAGCCGGAGGACAGGTGCACACCGGCCCAAGGCTGCTTTCCCCGGGCCTACCTGAGCAGGTGTCTGGCGATCGTGGACCTGTCCACAGTGACTCTGGAGGACGGCAGCACCACGGGGTCAGACATCAGGGTGCTCATGATGGGATCCAGGAACTCGTCGCAGGCGTCCGCGTAGGTCTCCTCTTCCTGTTGCTGCAGGTCTGCAAGAGACTGAGCACAAACAGCAGCGCTGAGCGCATTCACAGTGGACGGTTCAAATGCTCAATGCCTGTCCCTTAAAGCGCATAGAACCTGAAAGGGTGTATCTGAAAGGTAATGACCTTCACAGTGACAATAACAAGTCTCAACTTTGCTTTCTAAACAGGCCAAGATGGATATTATGGGATCACATTCAGCATCCAGCCCAATTCTGAAACTTCCATTTGGCTCAGCTGCTGGCAGTCATGCCTAAGAATGAAAGCAGCACATGACATACATCTTTCTGGCAACAGTCCTGTTGTAAATGTCATAATCCCAAAGGGGAGGAGCCGGAGGGCTGTTATCTGCCCAGTTACAGTCACTCATGAAGTTCCGGTGCTAGGCACAATCAGGTGTAAGAATTTAAGAGTGCCTTCAACCTTTGATTCTTTCATGACTCTAGTTCCTCAGGGCCCCGTCTGGCTGAACTGGAGGCAAAGATGAAGCCCAACTTAAGAAATAAGTAACTCGACGAAAGAAGGACTGACTTTATTCAACAAAGTTTTCTATCAGACACTGCGCCATGATTTTTCTGTTTTCATAACTGCTAATGAAGCTCTGTTATACCCCAGACAAAGGGATTATTAGCTAACTACAATACAGGATTTTAATTTTAATTATTTTTTTAATTAAAAAAATTTATTGATTTTTTACATAGAGGAAGAGAAAGGGATAGAGAGTTAGAAACATCGATGAGAGAGAATCATCGATCAGCTGCCTCCTGCACCCCCCCCCCACTGGAGATGTGCCTGCAACCAAGGTACATGCCCCTGACTGGAATTGAACCGGGACCCTTCAGTCTGCAGACCAACGCTCTACCACTGAGCCAAACCGGTTTCGGCAGGATTTTAATTTCTAAAATGTATGGCTATTCCCACATAAGCCAACTACCAACCACAAATATAGAGAACAGAGAACACCAATAAAAATCAGTAACTAAAAACAACTCATCATGGATTCTATTGTAAGAAGTTCTGCTTTTTAGCATTAACAATGTAGATTTTCAAATCTATTGGTGACACTGCACAAATGTTTTCATAAAACAGCCTTCAAGAATCTGTACACTCTTCTATTCTAGCAGAAGCTTCTTAAATCAATTTTTCTGTCTTCTCAACATTAAAGAAAGTAGTATTGCCTGGCCAGTATGTCTCAGTGGTTGAGCATGTACCAAAGGGTTGCTGGTTCAATTCCTGGTCAGGGCACATGACTGAGGTGTGGGTTTGATCCCCAGTAGGGGGTATGCAGGAGGCAGCCATGTTCGTCTCTCATCAATGTTTCTATCTCTCCCTTCTTTCTCTCTCTCTAGAAATTAACAAAAAAACATATTAAAAGAAAAACAAAAACCCACAATAAACTGAAACTAAAAAAAAAGGTAGTATTGCCCTGGCTGGGTGGCTCAGTGGGTTAGAGCATTGTCTTGATATGCTAAGGTTGCAGGTTCGAACCCTGGTCAGGGCACATAGAAGAACCAACCAATGAATGCATAAATAAGCCAAGTAGCAAGTATCAACGTTTCTCTGTGTTCCCTGCTCTCTCTCTCAAATCAGTAATACAAAAATAGTATTAAGAATACTGTAGTTCTAGTTATTGACTAATCATGTTTATATTTTCTCAAGGCAACAGCTGAGTCAACAATGTAATAATAAAAAAAAGTTTTTATTGATTTTGAAAGAGAGAGGAAGGGGGAGAGAAACTTCTACCTGCTGCCTCCCATACACACTCTGATCAGGGATGGAGCCTGCAACCTGAGTGTGTGTCCTGGCAAGAATTAGACAGGAGGCCTTTTGGTGCACAGGACAACGCTCAACAAACAGCCACACTGGCCAGGGCAACCATGGGGCCTTCCAGGACATGCCAACAAACAAATCCTCCCCCCCCTCACCTTGATTCTCTCCGCTAAGTTGGTGAAAGCCACAATCATATCCCCAGGCTTATTTATTTTCTTCAGAACGCGGATTGTCTGCGCAAGAAGA